TCCATGGTGGCTAGGAGTGTGTTGCTGGGAAGGTGGTCTATGTTTTTAAGTTTCCGTAGAAAGTCTGTGGTGTCTTGGACAAAACTTGTTCTGTGGGTGACAAGCGGTTTTAGGATGGATTCAACAAAACCTGATATTTCCTCAGTTAGGGTCCCATGGTTGGATATGATAGGTCTGCCAGGGTTCCCTTGTTTGTGGATTTTAGGGAGCATGTAAAAAGTCCCTGGGTTAGGTAGTGGGGGGATCAAGGTCTGTAGTTTTTCTTGTAATCTTGGTGGAAATGATTTGATGGTATTGTTGAGTTTTTTGGTGAAAAGGGGAGTAGGATCTTCTTGTAGTTCTTTGTAGTAGGTGGTGTCAGAGAGCTGTCTGTTGGCTTCCTTTATGTAATCCTCACGGTTTAGGATGACTATGGCTCCTCCTTTATCTGCTGGTTTTATTACTATTTGGTGGTTAGATCTTAGCGATTCTATGGCCTTTTTCTCTGGTAGAGAGAGGTGGTTGTGGTGGCATGTGTTGCTGATTATTTCATTGTTCATTCTTTCCCTGAAGTAGTCAATGTAGCGGTCAAGGTTAGGGTTTCGTCCACTGCGAGGTATCCAATCTGATGTTTTTTTGGGTTTTTTGGCATTGATCTTTTCTTGAATGTTGTCAGAGGATGAGTTGTTGTTGGGAGTGGGTTCAGTTTGGTTGTGGAAATATTCTTTGAGGCGCAGGTGTTGGAAGAATTCTTCTAGTTCTCCACATTGAAGTGTTTTATTAGGGTATTTTTCTGGACAGAAATTTAGGCCTTTAGAAACTTAAGACAGGGTTTTCAGGAACCAATTGTGTCTAAGTCTGAGGACTGCCTTTACTGACATCCCTTTCAAACTCAGCTCTGTGTTGTGCTGTTTTTATTAGGCTGCTTGCACTATTATTTCCCCCATTGTGAGAATGCTGAGAACTGTTAGATTTATTTCTTGTTTCTTTCATAGTGCTATCCCCATAACACAGATGCTTAAGTCCAGTTGAACTGCTAGTTTGTGAGTTTCTATGTCCCTCACACTGCCCCCATTTTCCCTTCCTTGTTTAGCTCTGGAGCATGGGCTTGCTTTGATGAATTTAACCGCATTGATATTGAAGTGCTGTCTGTAGTTGCTCAACAGATCACAACCATTCAGAAGGCCCAGCAGCAAAGGGTGAGTCAAGGATATGAGCAAATAAAGAGATGGGTTATCTAGACACTGAAGTATAAGAGTTCCTAACTCTTGGTATGCCTGTAACTACAATCCAAACCTCCTGTTGCAACTTGCATAGATGTAGCCACACTATCTTCAAATTGGCTAGCTTAGGTACGAACAGGACTATAATTGCAACAGCCAAAAGTCTGGGGTAGCCAACTGATTACTGACCCATGTCCTGGTGGATTTTGAAGCCTTTTCCCCACTCTCAGTTGTTGCAGATTATACTTAAACCTGAGCTATCTAATTTAATACTCATTCAGATGTGTTTGTGAGCTGCAGTCACACTTCTGGTTCTAGTGTGGCCATAACCTTTTTCCTGTACTTTTTTCCACTATTTGATTCTAACCCTAGACACTTGCTGATAGACAAAAATACCATTATGCCAATTTTCTTGCACTGTGATATGAAAAGTAAAATGTACCATTGTGACTAAGCAGAAATCAGGATTATTGCTTGATTGCTTATATATAAGAGAGGGAGTTATCTTTGAACCTTGAGGTATTCACAAAATTGTGTGTGTGTGTGAGCACATGCATGCATGTGTGCATCATGCTTACTACAAGTTGGTGCTAGCTCCTGACAGAGACTTAGCTGTCAGCTATTCTAACAGCTAGTCTCTGTTTTGCTCCTGTAGGGATTGATAAAGGTTAAGACCTGAAGCTCCTTGACTTTGGCTTACCATCAGAAACTTGCTTTCAGTGAGTTCTGCTGCACTTCTTTATCCACCATCTGAAATCACCACCCACAAGTGTTCTTAAAAGGGATTTAGGTTTCTTTTCTTGCCTTATCTGCCACAAATTAATTCAGTCCCCAATTCACATACTGAATAAATCTGAAGGTGTCTGTTTACAGCTGGAGGGTTAGAAGCCTCTTTGTGATCAAAAGAAATATCGTAAATGATCAGTAAATCCATGTAAGAGCCTGCTTTCTTAAAGGGAGGAGAAGTACTGCTTGTAAGCCTGCATTCCTGGATGGAAGCCAGATCTTGTCATTCATATCAGTGGGGTGACCTGTCACTGTCCAATTTAAAATCAGAAGAGAAGGGCTTTTTCCCCCTATAGGATAATGATCCTGCCACCTGCTCACTTGACTCTAGAGAACTTATCTTTTCACTTTAGAATGGTCATGTTTTCTAGGTGGACCGTTTCATGTTTGAAGGAAGTGAGATTCCACTGGTCCCATCCTGTGCGGTCTTCATCACCATGAACCCTGGATATGCTGGACGCACTGAATTACCTGATAATCTAAAAGTAAGTAAACTTAATCAGATGTTAGGGATGACTTCACTAACATAAATAGGAAGTGGTCAGTGGTTAGTATCCTAG